TGGAGCTCGGGTTTAGAGCTTAGAGATGACAATTTTGAAAAAATCTGAAATCATTAAAAAACGTTAGTACAACTATTTATTTGAAAAATAACCAAAGGTAAATAATTAGAATCAAATAAACAAATTAAAATTTAGACTTGTAATTTTCGCTAAAAAAGACAACCGGAAATTAATTTCGGCCTGACTCACTTACCTGTCCCCAGCGGAGTCGCCAAGCTGTCGTAACCGCCTTTCGGTTGGGCCCCGGAATTGGGCTTCGACTTGGATGAATTGGGTTAGAGTCGCCACCGACCATTTTAAAACGAATTTAGGTGGGTCGGACACCATCTTACCTGATCTGCGTTTTACCAGAAACGTGTCGGGTTCGGGAGTCGGTTACGGTCAAGGAAGGATTAGCACCCTTGAACCGCCCTTTCGGTACCAATTAATTTGTCGATTGTCTTAATTGCGAAAATTAAAAATTTAAATTTAAATTTAAAAATTCGGTTCGAATTGATTACCTTTGATCGATTGAAATTATCACTGTAAGTGTCGAAAAATGTTAGATGGTAAAAATAAAAATAAATACAAGGTAGCAAAGGGAAAATATATATATATATATATCTATAAATATAAAAATAATAATAAAACAAAATGTACGACAAAAATAAACAAAAGTTAGTAAAATAGATCATAGCAAATAATAAATAATAATAAAATAAAGTAAAATAATAATAATATAAAAGGTTAGTTGATAAATAAGTAAATAAATACATAAGAATAAAAATGAAAATAAAAAAAATAAAAAAATAGTATAATATAATAGTAAGAAATGAAAAAAAACCAAAAATAAGAAATATACAAAAAATAGAAAAATATAACTAAAAACGTATATATAAAAAAGAAATGTTAAAAGGGAAATAAAAATGAAAAAAGAGGTTTTAAAAAATAATAATTATTATAATAATAAATAAGACGATACTAAATAAAATAATCTAAATTAGGACTAAAATAATTGAAACCTAAATCTAAGGATTTAATTTAAAATTAAAATTCTAGGACCAAAATGAATTGTATGCATAATATAATGTCAAACTTAAAGGAAAAATAAAGCTAACATAATTCATCAAATGTCAAGTGACCAAATAAGTAATTTTTCCAATATATTACAATTGGTGTGCTCCACTTGCTATGTCAGATCAAAGCCACATTCACGTTTAAAACAAACAAAAGAAGAACCAAACTCATTTGTTACCAGATATTAAAAACAGGGGTGAGCGTTTCACTGCCTTCTCGCCGGGAAAGAACCCGTTCAACGCCAAACTTTAAAGGTAGGTCTTTCTCGACACCGGTAACTTGGATCCAATCCCGGTCTTGCAAGAAAATGTCCCCAACTCTGCAAAAAGGCAAAAGAAACTTCGACTCTTCACCTCTCCGATCTAACTCTTCCGTCGTCAGATCGTTTCTGTTCCGAGGTATGTTGTTCTTCTCGGACTTCTCCTTCCGAAATGCTTCTGTATTTTTCCTTCGAATGAATCCCTCTGTATTTCTCGTATTTTTCGCGTATTCCTCGTAGGATTTTTTTTGTAAATCGTTGCTCCCCGTATGTTTATCCCGTCGCGTTTCTTGTAAACTCTGAGTATTTTTGCGTGTCCCCTCCCCAGGTATGTGTTTACACGCTTTATTATAGTAGAAAAAAAAGTCTTAGAATCCGAGTAGAACTCTCAATTTATTTCTGCTTGTTTGTTGATGTTGGGTGCCGAGATTTTCGGCGGTGGTTGCGTGAGTGGGTTGAGGAGTCCCATTGAAACACAACTTTGATGGTTCCGTGAAAACTGGCTGGTTGTGCGGTTCGTGTGGAAGAAAACTAGTGTCTACAGACTGATTGTAGCATATTCATCCAAATAGAAACCAATAAAAATATTTAAAAATTATATAAATAAGCAACAAATGCAAGGTAAACATAGAAAAGGAAAAAAATCAAGTAGAAAGGCTTACGAGATAATCAGTGCTCAAAGAAATCAGATGAAAAAATGGACGAAAATAAAGTTGGGGAGTGTTTGGGAAGGCTGCCTTGAGAAAAGAAAAGGGGGGAAATTAAAACCCTGTGACCAAGGTGACGGTGACTGCTGGCTTAAGACTTATTTAGACAAATGAATTGAAGAAGTCTCTGTCCGACTGTTTTCCCCTTTTTCTCGTATTTACTTTTCTAGAAAAACTTTCAGATTTCAAAACATTTTACTTTGGCATTCTCTTTCAACTAAGATCGCCAGGAAAATTGTAAAGAACGAACACTTAAATTTTAAAAATGATAGAAATAGGTGTAATTTCAATCGAAAATATTAAAATATATATATAATATTTTAGATTGTGTTTAATCTAAATTAAAATTCTAGAAGTACTGATTTTTCTTAATTATTATTTTTTAAATTAAAATCACATTAAATTTAAACTAATTTAATTCAAGATAAATCTATTTTGATATTATCGCATGCTTAATTTGTGCATCATATTCTTCTGGTATACATTATCATTTAAAAGGTTGATTAAGTAAATCCGAGAGTATAATTATCTTGAACTTAAAGGTTGTAAAATTGAAAATTATAATAGTTTAGACATTAAATTTTTTAATTAAACTAAAGTTATCGATTTATCGAATATCATCTAATGACAAAATGATTAAAAATTGATTTTATGAATGATAATTAATATTTTTTTTTTTTGGTATACAAAAGTTTAGGTCAGGGGTGGCTCTCCCAGTCCAGGGTCAGGGCATACCTAAGACCCAATTGGGATTTACATAGGACTTTACAGATTACCTACCAAGAGTGATGGTTGTGGGATTCAAACTTGGCCTTACAAGCTCAAATTCATGAATCTCAATCACTTGTGCCAACACTCATTGGCAATGATAATTAATATTTATTAAAGTGTTTTTAATTTCTTTTTAACATTCTATCGAAGTCTTATAATAATATATGTCATGTTTTTATTTTTGTATGCTCTTATATAATTCTTTGGATAAAACAATTAACAACCATTACCTATGCATCAAACCAGTGGCGGAGGTACGTTGATGTTAGGGGAAATTTTTGGAATTCAAATTTTCTTTTTTAAAGTTTTATTTTTTAATTAATATACGAGTGTCCATTCTAAAATTTTATCATGTGACATTACATCAAACACTTTATTAATAAATTTATTCAATGTTATCAATATATTTAGTCATACAAAATGTTTTCTCATATATATATAATGAGCGTGACAAAATCCAATAAAGTGTATGGTTGATTTTTACGTTACTTTTACTCAATGATATCAACTTAGTTGAGTAAATACACAAAAATTAAAGTATGAAACAGGAAAAAAATGTTTAAGGGTGATTTTTTTTTTACATTTGAAGAAAATCAATTAAATTTTTAAATTTTTGCACTCAATTAAACTTTAAACTTAAAAATTAATTAATTAAATTATTTGAGTGTAGATTATTATTGTTAATTATTATAGTATCGTGATAATTTATGATGTTTATATGTCAGTTCATATGTGAATGTTGATGTTGCAGAAAAAACTAAATATTTTTTCAATTAAGTTTGAGAATTATTAGAAATTATTCACATATATATAGTTAGTTTCAGTCTATTATTATTCTTTCAACATGTTTTCAATGGAACTAATACTACTTTATCTAGCAATAGTTTTTGAGGTTCCTTCATATAGTGTAAAAAAGATAGTAAAGAGTTTACGCGAATGTAGTATTTAAGTCTTATTTTAAATCATAATTTTGATTTCTCATATATAATCAATACAGCACGAGTTTTTTTTAAAGGTTTTGTATGATTAGAATAGCCAACACATACAAAACAAACCATAAAAAATGATCTCGTTAAAAAAATCTCCTTAAACTTAGATAAAGGAAAAAGAGTGAATCTTTCTGACGAGGTAATAAAGTACATGAACATACAAATCAACTCGCACCAAAAAATACATTTGATAAATTAAAATTTGAGATCCAAAATAAGACTTGTGAATACTACTTAGATGTAAACTCCATCACATCATTTTTAAATTATAGGAAGGAACTTCAAAGCTGTAATTACTCTAATGTAATGCTGATTACGTAAAAAATATGTTTAAGGAATAGCAACTGGCTCGTTTCAAAAAGAGATAATCGAATACTTTTCCGATAAAAACATTTGATTTTATTAATATTTTTTATTTTTAATAGTTTATAAGTTATGATTTTATAATTTATTATATTTTTAAACTTTTAGATTTTATTTAATTTTTAAAAAAATTAATAGTATTTTTTTATTAATATTTAATTTTTAAAGTATTTTAGTATTTTAAATAACTTATTGTTTTTTGTTTTTTATTTAAAGATTAAATAACCCTTTAGACTTCATAAAAGATAAATTAAGTCCTTTAACATTTTTAAAAAATTAATTAAGCTTCTCTATCATATCATCATTCACATTGACACTATAACAATCGACGGTTTTTATTGATCAAAAGATCACATTGATTAATTTTCTAGGTTTAAGAGTTTAATTAGATATAAAAAGATTAAAGGATTTAATTGATTTTTTTTCAAAGTACAATGACTTTTCGCACCCTTAAGCCAATAAAAAAATATTTATATTATTTTGTATTTAATAGATTTAAAATACCATGATAGTAACTTGAATTATTTTTACTAATAAATAATTACCATTGAAATAATTAAATTTCTAATTTTTCATTTCTATTAATTTAATACATTTTATTAATTTTGAAAGTGCATGCAATAGAATTCTCATTGTTTTAATGTAAGAAATGTTAATGTCCTCTAATTAAAGTAAAATATTTAGAAATATATACATTTAATGCCCTTCCTTTTTAACAATCTCGGATTCTACATTATCAAGACACAAATACATAACAATTGCCAATTGAGTTCAAGAAGATAGGAGTCGCAAATGCCTATAAATATCACAAATTAAATGAAAACAAAAGGATCTGCCTTAACTAGTTAAGCCCAGCAGTCGGAAAACGGGAAAAAAAAACACACCACAAAGTAGTCGAAATTAGTTTTACATTTGAGTGATTTGTAAACCACACTGTGAGTAATCTCCTTTTTATTCCCTTTACGATCCACAGCAACTCGACTTTTGAGCGGCTGCACCACTACTTGCAGCAGGGTCTTGCTGATTAATTTTGAGTGTCGTCGGCTGTAACCGAAAACCAAGACACGGCATTGATCATTTCAAGTTACAAAATCTAATATTCACATGTCCGGTGCCATTCTCGTGTTTACTCGAGACAAAGAAAAATAAAAAGTTCCAGAGAACAGTAAATTATACCTCGGCCTTGTTATCTGATTCTTCAAGCCTTTGCTTAATATCCCGGGCTATCGAAAAGAAAACCTCCTCCACATTCAAATTTGTCTTTGAACTCTGCAAAATTTGATTAAGAATTAACCAAAATTAGTTAAACACTATTACATATGATCCAATCAGCAGCAAACATATAACTTACGGTTTCAAAGAACTTGATACCATACTCATCAGCCAAAGCTTGACCCTTCGAGGTTGGAACAGCTTGGAAGACAGATCATATCTGAATCCGATTATTACAGGACAAATGTGTCTAGCTTGCTTGTGTGCATATGTGCGACGAATAAGGAGACCTATCCTTTATTCACCCAGAACTTATCTTTTTGTCACACATTAACGAGCAAGCATGCATAGACTACACGAAACAAAGCCATCAACACAAATCGAGTAACAGAGAATGGTTGCCTCGACATGTAATTAACCCTAACCCACCAAGAAAAACAAGATAATTGATTTTTGGAAAATCTTACTCTTTTGCTCTCATATATGTCAGCCTTGTTTCCAACCAGTATCTTGTTGACATTGTCTGAAGCATGTTGTTCGATATTGCGAATCCAGTTCTTAATATCTGTAAATTTTAAGCCAGTTCAATAAGACTTGCAATAGATGTATGAACCACTGTAAGAAGCTCTTTCCTTCAGAGAGAGATCCTAAGGCGTCCACCCCAACAAAGGGATGGATGAAGAACTATGTTATTCCAACCCTCCAGTATTCTCAAACCTTCCATGTTTGAACTAATGTTTGACGCATATCCGGATATGGGTTTGGGAATATAAGCATCCATAAAAAAAATTAAAAACTGAATATATACGTGTAGGACATGTGCCTAACCCAACATTTGTCCAAGATCGAGTATCATAGATGAGGAGGATCAACTATAAACTGATTTCACTGACAAACCCAATTAAAGACACAAGAATAATTACGATAGAAATCGTCCAACAACAAAGGCTTATCAATCCATCCAATCAGAAAATTTTCAGTATGCAAAAAACAGAATTAGGACAGTTTGGAAATTACTGTTGAAAGATGACTCATCAGTAACATCATAAACCAGCAAAATACCCATGGCTCCCCGATAGTAAGTTGCAGGAAACATAATCCATCAGCAAAGTCAAACATCAGGCAAAATGTTATTGCTGCAATAGTTTGGGGGGGGGGGGGAAGAGATTCAACCTGCACAAGCTTAAACACACCTGTGGTAATAGTCCGAAATCGCTCTTGACCAGCTGTATCCCAGATTTGTAATTTAATCCGCTTACCATCTAGCTCAATGGTTCTTATCTTGAAATCAATGCTGCCGATGAAAAAATAACAACCAAATAGGCAATAAGAGAACATGTTGGGAATTTTTTTGAATCAAACTTCTAAAATCTTATTGGACGATTGAATGCGGAGAAGCGAGTGGAAAGGTATGCGAATATAAATTACAAAACGGTTGTCTAAGAAAAATCAAAGAGAAACTTAGATTATGATACTGTAAACTCCATTTCATCCATACACTGTTGCAGTAGAGGAAGCTAAACCAAATGATGCAATTCACCCCCAATTCTCTCCTTGAATGAATGATACACTGCAAGTGCTCCGCTCCACATTCACACCTATGGTATTCAGACTCAAGTGCGAGTGCCAAATATGGTTATGTTCAATATTTTCTAAGTTTCTTGATATATTTGTCCCCAACCCATGAGTGGATACTGTTATTAGACACGGTTTCTCAATAAATAATAAGTCAAAGCAATATAGATTCACATTTCAGAAATGAAAATATAGCAAAATAATTCTATCATTTGATTTTCAAGAGGTACAAACCCAATAGTTGTTATGAAACTAGTAGTAAAGGAACCATCAGAAAAGCGTAAAAGCAGACAACTCTTCCCTACACCTGCATAAATTCAAATAAAAATCAAATCACAGTTAGGAAAAATCAAAGCTGGAGCACCAAAAACCTAGTAGCCTATATTACTCCGACTATTCATTTTTCTTGAATGACCGTGTCCAATACCCGTGTGTGATGCATATCCGGACTTAGGCATAGCCGCATAGGACAATATGACCTTCTATAGATTCTCCAAATATATGGAAAAAACTTTAGAAAATTTGAATATACGTTTTTAGGGTTCAACATATTAAAAATCGAATTTACTGTTGAACATGTACAATATCCTACACTCACACTCGAGTTCCAGAAAAATAGCTGGCAAGTTATTGGCCTGGTAATTGATACAACCAGTTTTCACATAAGGCCACATTATTCCAACTAACATAAAGGGTGAAATTAAGAGCAAAGGGAAACATCTATGATTCTATAAATAATGAAATCAAATACAGAATAACAAAGGGCAGAAAAATTTTAAAAATAGCATATTTTCTCAATACCCATGTTTGATTTTTAAATGTTATAACAATAAAACTATTAAAACTATAACTGTTACCTCCCACACAGACACAAACTAAACTGAACAAAAACTCACCACTATCACCAATCAAAAGAAGCTTAACGAGGACATCATAATCAACCCGAGCTCTTCCCGGTGGTGCAGCCATGGATCCTCAAAAAAACCGCACACAAAATTTCCAATTAAAAAGGAAATATCTAATTTGCTTTCTCTCACTTGTCTACATTTAAAACAAAATTAACATTAATTTTCGTAATGGAAATAGAAGAAAATTGTAAAAAGGAAAAATCAGATCAAAATTTGGGAAAAGGAAAAATATAGAGAACCTAAGACGAAGAGGGTTGGACCGCTAGAAGCAGTTGTGGATCGAGAGCTGGGTCCAATGAAATTGGGAATTTTCCTTTCTGCTTCTTCAGTTTTTTTTACCTTCTCATGGTCCGCTTCCTCCAATGTGATTGGTTGGAAATGTTTGTTCAATATAATTGACCGTATGTAACTTTTCCGTATATCCTCATCCCCAAAACCTATTAGTTTATTTTTTTTTCTAACAATAGAAACTAAATTTCATTAACAAAAATTAGAAGAAATTAAATTTATAACATATCTAAACATAGAGAAAAATACGATAATAGTCACCAAAAAATTCATGTATAAAATAAAAATATTAAACATAAAGATACGAAAAAAAAACCAAAACATTTTATTAAAAATGATGTCTAACATAAAAAAACTCAATAATCGAGTATAAAGAAAATATCGCTTTCATCTTTTATTATTTGATACAAATTTAATTATCATTCATTATTATTCATAAACATGATTTATATCATCCATAAGCACGTATCACACATTTATATTGAAGATTGAGATATAAACTATTAACATTTTATTCATTACTTTTGATTAAATCATAATATTTTTCTCTAAGTTGTTTTTATTTTTTGAATATGATCTTTCGAGACTTTATATAACAATAATATAAAAATTAAATATATTATAAATATATAATTTTTTAATATTTAATCCTGATATTTTGATTTTAAAATATTTACTGGTATATTTTTATTTAAAATACTTAATTATTTTATCTGATTTTTTCTATTAGTGTATGCGTAATTCACTGCAAATTTTATTACTAAAAAAATATTAGGCAAAAGGTCATGTAGTATACATAATTTATCATTTTCACCACTATCGTATTTTCACATCAATTTATCCCTTGAAGTTGCTCAATTGCATCATTCCATATCCTATCCCCACTTAAAACCTTAAATTGAGGGTTTTAAGTTATATATTAAGGTTTAGGGTTTAGGGTTTATAGATTATGGGTCCTGGATTAGGGTTTAGTGTTATAAATTTAGGTTTTTAAATTAGGGATTGGGTATAAAATGACGTAATTAAACAACTTCGAGGGCTAAATTGATGTAAAAATACGATAAGGGAGAAAAATGATAAATCATGTCTACTACAGGGACAAAAATAACCTCTAAGACAAAAAATTATTATCACATATTTAAGGATTTCCCATATGATAATATATATATCAAGTCATTTTATCTTTTATCATTAGTTGTGTATGTGCTATTTTTTTTAATGATTTTATTTAAACCAATAAAAAATAACATGTGTTATCATCTTATTTAATTAAAATGAAATTTAGATTATAACTTTTTTTTAGTATAAGATGGATACAAAGTAAGATTTAGTTAAAGATTTTCAAATATTTAATATTCAAACATCTTTATATACATGGTGTTTGAAACCTCGACAAATAATAACAATATTTTAGCAACCAAGACCGTATGGTTGATGCACTAAATTTTAACTTTGGGAAAATTTAAACCCAAAATCCCTAGATCTAACGTATCACTACTGAACTAAAACAATAATTAATAAAATTTTATCAAAACAAATATTTAAGTTAAACTGATCACTACCTCAAATGCATAAATGCTACTAAAATCATAACACAACATATATCAAAGTTATTAAATTAAATAAATATTAACATGAGCTCAAGTAGAAGTGGGCTTTACTATTAGAAGTATCATCATGACCAATTAAAATAAATTAAATATTAAATTTTTTAATATTATATTATAAATATTTAATTTATATCATATAAATTATTTGATATATTATTAAAATTTATATTTATTTTAATTATTTTGATTTAAGTTTAAACATAATATTTTTTTGGATTTGTTATTTTTAAATTATATTTAAACTTTATATACAAAATGTAAGTATTTAAACCACGTTGTTTAATAAAAATGATTTCATTGTTTGATAATTAAGATTTTAAAATATAAAAAATTATAAATTTTGTTTTTAAAATTTTGAAATATAATAACAATTAAATAAAAAATAATCATAAAATAATTTGATAAATTAAAAAATATTTTCTAAAAATATTTTTATAATTCTAAAAATAAATTATGAATATATATATTTTAAAAAAATAAAAGTATTACATTATTGCTTAAAATTATCGAAAATATTCAAATAAAATTTTAATTACAATTAAAGAGTAAATGATAAATTTTCTACTAATATAGTATGTACGATATGTTTTTTTTTGAACGAAAGAAAAGAACCGGAGGTCTAGCTCAAATTGCATCACTGATCACGCATTGAGCTTCTTCCATGAGAACGGCTTCGATCCCATCAGCGGTGTCAGGAAAATATACCAGGATCTCTTGACCATGCCAAGCCTGCTAATCTATTAGTCACTCTATTACACTCTCGAGGTGCATAGGCGAACTTCATATTCCCACTCCGGTTGATCAATTCACGATTGTGGGGCAATAATGAGGAACCCTCACCAGGAGATCTGTGAATCCACGATAAAACTAATAAAATAGTTTAATATTTTTTTTTGAAAAGAGAGGTGTATGATTCATTGATTGATAATAATTTAATGACAATTAATGTTGCCGTGACATAAGATAATTAAATTCAAAATCTAATATTATTATATAATTTTAGATAATTTAATGTTTAAAAAATCATATAATTTAATGATCATTTATAAATTTTATTCTATAAAATTAATAATACATGTGATTATGTAAGATTTATAATATAATTCTCTACTAATAAGAAGCTTGTCCTATATAACGAAGCGCTGTTTCCAAACCGGTTTCTGCAGCTCTTTCTCCATGTGTTTTTCAGTCTGCATATATTGTTTATATTTTTTCCGCACCTCTTTCCTCAGCTTTCTCAGCTCCTTCTTTTGCTTCGCATCTATTTCACCCTCTGCTTCTGTTTCTATCTCATCACCTTCTATTTCCACTCGTGCTCCCGCCTCCGTTTCTTCTGCCTGTGCGCCTGTCTCGGCCGTTGCTTCTGGTGTTCTTTGAATTTCTTTCTTTTTACGCCATGACAGACATGTACATACTGAAACCGATAACGCAAACAACACTGAGATACATATTCCCCACAGTTGGCCAAATACCTGTTCTCCACTCCACTGTAAGTATTCAAATTTGAATATGAATATCTACGATCGTCTTCTTCTAATTAAGTTACGGGTTTGTTACATGAACAATATATATAATTTTTATCAAACAAAAAATTTGCATGCACACGAGTGAGTTCAACTAGCTTGCATGAACTACAGTTAATCGTCAAGGGAATGCCAACGAAGATTTAAATAAAACAAAATATAAATATTGAAGAAAAATAAGTTAATGTTACGTACCCATGCTTGATATATAGCTAGAAAGAAAGTAAAATCTTGAAATTCAGTGAAATTCAATTTTTCTCCGATGAGCCCTCCAAGCTCTGCTGTTTACCTATTAGCTACTTGGTATTAACGATGTAGCTTCTAAGTCTCTATTTATAGTTGTTTATGCTTAAAACTAGCTAACTAGGGTTTTATTTAAAAAGTGAGAGTATTACTACTACAAGCTGGAATTCACTTTTAATGATTTCTATAAATAAATAACCTAATTAATTGCATATTATTAGCCTTCAATTAATATATATATTTGTTATAAGTAATATATTTATCTTATTTTTACTTATATTATTATTATTTTTATAGTCTATATTTTCTTCTTCTTCTTTTGACTAAGTTAAAAGTGATTACAAAATAGTATTTGATTAAAGTAGTCTCAATCATTTGGTAATAAAAAACTCAATCACTTTTACAATCGTCACTACTCGAAACAATAACAATCACTATTGCAATCGCCAGTCCATGACTACTAGAAACAACAACGATTCTTTTAACCACTTACGTAAGTTGATTCGTGATTTTATAGTTTATATTCTAAGTTTATAATTATTTTTTATTAACATATTCTGAAGTTTTCTTTATTTGTCTTTAGGTCACATTTGCCATCTGGCCGATAAAAGGAGCAAAGGCAAGACGATAGTTTAGAGCTGTTTTAGTTGTTCATAGAGCTTCGATTGTTTCTTTAAGTTTAAAAAAGAAGGCGCCGTTGCCGGGGATCGAACCCGGGTCACCCGCGTGACAGGCGGGTATACTCACCACTATACTACAACGACTTGATTGGTAAGATGCATACAAGTTTTTATTTATTTATTATTGTTGGGAAACATTTGGCCATACATATACAAAGGGATAATTGATACAATGGATTTGTGATACCTCTTAATATTTGTGATGTCCTCCAGAAAAATGATGAATCTGTTCTAGTGGATCGGATACTTTGAAGATACAATGGGCATCATGGGATATATTGTGAAATTAATAGTCTTTATTTTTTTAATTTATCTAGATTTTGAAATAAAAAAAATAATTAAATTCAGAGATTTAATCTATTGATCAATTTTGACCTTTAAGACTTTGTAATTTTTTTTGTTATTTTCATATGACACATTATGATTCTATCGCATGTAATTTATATGTTTTTTTATAAAATAAAAATTTATTTTAAATCTAAAATAATTATTAATATTTTAAATCATAAGAAAACAATATGATTATGAAGTTGTGAATGAGACAAATTGAATTATAAATATTGTTTTTAATATACTTACGTAGTATTCAATATAAATTAATTGATTAATAGATAAATAAAAAATATATATACTTCTTAAAATATACAAAAAAAAGTTAGATATCTTTATATCCATATTGAAAGTAGCTTGAATCTACGAAAAATATAGCCAATACTAATTAATAATTAAAATTTGGGCAATCAAAATACAAAAAAAAATGTAAAAATAAAAATATATGTAATGGTTATTAAACAAAATGTTAAAAAAGAAAATAATTTAAATTTGAAAGCAGACGAATTTAGCCTGATAAAATCCCAGTGAAAGACCGTTTAACGTGCCTTTTCATACGTTATTCTGTTTTCTCTCTTTGGCTATGGAAAACCAATGTTTACCTTTCTTTTCTTTTCCTTTCCAGGAGCTTTTTCCCACTCCATGCACCAACTTTCACCCAAAACAAATACCATTTTCCTTAATTTCACTAATCAGCCCTTTTCTCATCAATAACCAAATCTTATTTTCAATCATCATTTCATGGTTAGTTTATTTCATTAATTTCTTGTCTGTTTCTCAAGAAAAAAAATGATGATGCACTTCTTTGTTCTCTACATTTTCATTAGAAATAAGAAATTGTGTTGCAATTGTTAAGTCAGGCTTGGATTTTTAGATATTATCAAAATAATTCTTTATTTTCTTTCTCGAGTTTAACAGATTTTGGATTATCCGAAGCGTAAATGGCATATAAAGTGGATCATGAATATGATTATTTATTTAAAATTGTATTGATCGGAGATTCCGGCGTGGGAAAATCCAATATTCTTTCAAGATTTACGAGAAATGAATTTTGCTTGGAGTCTAAATCTACCATTGGTGTTGAATTTGCAACAAGGACTCTTCGGGTTGGTTTTATATATATAAATGAATTACATATACATTGAGTATTTGAACAATGTATTGTAATTGAATTTAGGAGCTGTTTCTTTGCAATATTTCAGGTAGAAGGGAAGACGGTTAAGGCACAGATATGGGACACGGCAGGTCAAGAAAGGTACCGAGCCATTACCAGTGCTTACTATAGAGGTGCAGTCGCGGCACTATTGGTTTATGACATAACTAAAAGGCAAACTTTCGACGATGTCCTGAGATGGCTTCGTGAACTTCGAGACCATGCCGACTCGAACATTGTCATTATGATGGCCGGGAACAAGTCCGACCTCAACCATCTTAGAACCGTCTCGACGGAGGACGCCCAAGCCTTGGCCGAGAGCGAAGGTCTATCGTTCATGGAGACGTCGGCTTTGGAAGCCTACAACATCGAGAAAGCATTTCAGACGGTTTTGTTGGATATTTATGAGATAATAAGGAAAAAGGCATTGGCAGCACAGGAGGCAGGTGCCGGTACCGGTGTTCCTCAAGGCACCACCATTAACGTCAACAACATATCGGATAATGGAACCAAGAAAGGTTGTTGTTCAACCTAGAAACTGCTTTCTTTATTGTTTTTTTCTTCAGACAAGAGGTTTCAGAAATGTTGCGGTTGTCGGGTGCTCGACAACTTTGGGACAGACATGAAAATACATTGTTTGAATCGAACATATATGTAGAGTAGTTCGTAATTAAGAACCATGGATTAAGAATTCAAGATGAGAAAACGAGGAATTTAGCAGCAGTGTCATGTTTGGGGATTCAGAAGAGGATTTTACTGGAAGATCAAAGGATTCTGTTCTCATTTTTTTCCCAGCATTGCTTATGCTGATTTTTTTGAACTTGCAGATTACAATGTCAATTTTATTCATGTTGTAAAACAACTACTGTTACTCCAAAATTAAATCCTTGAAATGAATATAATTCATGTACCTTGTTTCTTTAAGATCATTAAGTTGCATGAGACTGCATAGTATTTATGATCTATATATATGTGTGTGTGAAATATAGTGTTCAGAGAATAAGATTCTTCAATTGTAATGGTTTTCAATAATTTAGAGGTAAATTTCATCTTTCAAATTTTCAAAATACATTTTTTAATCATGTTGACAGACCGAGTATTTTTAGGGATAGATTAACAAAGCCTCTTCGAAAATTTTAAATTATAATATATTTTAATTTATTTTTTGTATGTTCTATTAATAATCTAATTTTTTCCTTCAAACTTCATAAGTTTATCTCTTCTTAAAATTTTAAAAGATTAATTCTAACATAAAATATTACCTTCTTTTATATTTTAATACCTGATTTTAGTAGTTAGTGTGGTGAGCTTAATCGATATGACACTGAAATCTCAATGTAAATTTGAATGGAGCATGGTGATGGAGTTTCTATCTCGCTAGGTAAACAAGTTTAATGAGTTCCAGAATGATACGAACGAGTTCAACCATTTCTTTATTTATTTTTGGATAAAATATATAAATGATCTCCCGATTATAGGGAGTTGATTTGTTAAGTAATTTAACTATTAAAAGTTATAAAATAGTCAATCGTTAATTTATTATATTCTAAAATTATCTTTTTCCGTTAAAAAAATTGACGGTCGTTTGAGCTGAATGTTAACTTGTTGACTGAGATATGATAATCGTTTGAGATTGTGATTTTTTTATATAAAGTTTGGGGGCTAAATTAGAATTTATATAAAATTTAAGATCAAATTAATATTCTATCTAAAATTTAAGAGTATATTCATTTTTACTTACCTGCTATGACAGCAAGATTACATGAGTTAACGGCCTAATTATCAAAATAAGACGGACCGTAAAAGAAGTGATCAAAACTAAGCTTTTCAAAACAGGTGACTAAAATCGAATAGACCAAAAACATAAAAGACCACTAGTGTTGTTTACCCTATGTTCTCTCTCTCTCTCTCTCTCTCTCTATTGAATATATGTTTGGAAGGGAACTAGAATGCCCAGGCTTGGTCGTGCTTCGCTATCGCCTCTACAATTTAAATTATTTTTCACCCCCTCTCTTCTTTCTCTTTTCGGCTTAATCTCCGTGGGGTTTACTTAACTAACGAGTTTCAATTAACATCAACTAAGGTTTGAATTGATTTTCATTTATATCCCAATTTCTCATTTCCCCTTAAATTTTAATCATCCACTAAGTTTTCCTTGAGGATAATCTTTCTATATACACAATAAATATCTTAATGGGTCTACCGGATCCGTCGCTGGAGTTGCTAGCGACGAGCGGCGGCGACACCGTCAAGATTTTCGACATTAAGCTTGAACCGAACGATCCTTGTGTTCTAAGTTACTCGCCTTCTCCGAGTTGCTTTGTCAGTTCGGTTAAATGGAACCACACTAGTAAGCTCTTTTTTAATTTTAAATTATTTTCTCCCCGTTTCTGTTGCTACGATCTGTTCGATCGCTATGCTTTTTTCACTTAAGTTTTTTTTACTTAGAACTTTATTAAAGATTAATTTAGTTCTTGCGCTGAGAATTTAAGTTCTTTTTTATGCTTGTTTGTATTAATTTCAGCTGAGTTGATGTTATGGCAGATTTAGTGGTGGCGTGTGCCGGAGAAGATATCTTTGAGGCGGAACAATGGGCAGAGGATGTGGACAGTTCCGGTTTCTGGGACTGATTGTGGAGATAACATTGAGGTAATCCTACTTTAGGTTTAGTACATTGTCAAATTGCAAAGAAAAGATTGAATATTCCGGAAGTAATTTTTGATTGATTATTTGCTGTATGGATTTTTGGACTGGGATATAGTGTTTATTGACATGACTATGTTAAATCCAATTTGTTTTATGTTTTGTCTCAAACTATAACTTTCGATGCCATACTACAAACATGTAAATGATGAAATAGAAGTTACCTATGGACGGGCAGTCATTGTTGATTGGCTGCCCACTTAGATGCTATATTTGTATATAAGAAAAATCATGTGTTCTCATTTGCGAAACTAAAACCCTCAAGTTTTTACATCTTGCATCCAGAATTAGTTAGTGATTTATGATAGCAAAAGTTTAATGGTAGTTAATGCCAGTCCTTGATTGGTTTCAACGCTACGGAAGTTTTTACAGTCATTGCCACGGGCTTTCACATTTAAATTATTCAAGTAAAACTCCCCACCTATTCACAGGAGTCTATTTTAGCTATTAACTTTAGCAACAAGGGATCTAGATACATATGTTCAGGGGGAAGTGGTCAAATTGTAAGGATATGGGATTTGCAAAGGAAGCGTTGCATCAAATGGTCAAGGGGTCATACGAGCACAATAACAGGTGTTATGTACAATTGCAAAGACGAGCACTTGGCCTCCGTCAGCCAAAGTGGAGACCTCATTCTTCATAACCTTGCTTCCGGGGCTAGGGCTGCTGAATTAAAATATCCAAATGAACAGGTTGTTTAGTGTGTTGCACATGAGTGCTTATGTTAGGTTCTCATTCCTGTTTGCAAGCTAATTTTCCTGTGATTGATTTTAAGACCAGGTACTCAGTGTACTTGATTATTCACGGATCAGTCGACACCTTTTGGTGACTGCTGGTGATGATGGATCTATCCATTTATGGGATACCACTGGTCGTAGCCCAAAGGTTCTCATCTCTCTCTCTCAATATTCGTTCTGTTTTAAATACATAATTAATTCATTTTCCTTTTACAGGTTTCCTGGTTGAAGCAGCACTCTGCACCCACAACTGGAATTAGCTTCTCACCATCCAATGATAAGGTCTCGTTATTTCTTTTTTGTTCTCTTCTACTTAATCCAGGATTAATTAAAGGAAAAGGCTGAGACTTTTTGGGAGTTCAAAAATGAAGTAATCCTTTTTTATGGTTTGGACAACTTTCAAAAATTTGTTAAATATTCTGATGCTTCAAGTTGCTTATTCCTTTCTGACAGATAATTGCTAGTGTCGGGTTGGATAAGAAGCTATACACTTATGATTCAGGCTCAGGGTCTAGAAGACCCTCCTCTTTCGTGTCTCATGAGGCACCTTTCACTTCATTGGCATTTAGAGATGATGGTTGGACACTGGCAGCTGGCACCAATAATGGCAGAGTGGTGTTCTACGATATTCGAGGAAAACTAAAGCCTTTTACTGTCCTTCGTGCTTATAGTAGCTCTGAGGTTGTTTCTCTTTTCCTCTATGTATCATCACACTTCTTAATAGAAGAAACTCAGACATGATAATTACTAGTCATTTGCACCCGCTTTCATACTTTTTTTAAAGAACTCTAAACTTGATGTAGAATTTGAATTGTAGTAGTATAAAGGATCATGTTCTATAATGACATTAGTGATATGTAATATGCTCTCACTGCTTGCCTGGCTGTGCTTCAACTTAAAAGATATTATGTAAATGGAACAAACTAAAGATAATCTTATTGTTAGGTCATGAATTTTAAAGTAAGAAGCCTGATTCCTTTAGTCATTTCAAATCCCAAGTGTTTATTGCATCCATCAGGCTGTTTCAAGTTTATGCTGGCAAAGATCAAAACCAGAAATTGTTAATGAGAGTACTTGCACTGCTGAAACTGCGCTTTTGGGAGGTGAAGTGGAGGATTCAGTTCTAATGCCTGACCCACTTCCATCTGTGACATCAACAAGCCTTTCAGCATCCACAGCAATTTCTGGTTCTCTTATCACTAGCCGCTCAGGTCCTGCAGAAGTATCTTCTGTTACTAGTAGTAGTGGATTGGTATCAAGCACAGTCAATCTGCCTTCTTCTATGGAAACACCGCATAAAAGCCATATGTGGCCACTGATGAGATTACATGCTCCACGTTCTAAATACAATCTCAAGGATGATATGGATGTATTTTCCCCCGTCGTGGATGTTCAACCAATTACACCCTCACTGGATAATCTGTGGGATAATCATGATGGTGCAAAGAAAGAGCATCTACTCACTGATAAGAAGCCTTTCTCCCTGCTGTTTGCCTCTAGCAGTAGGTTTGGTTTTGCAGATGATGGAGCTCGTGATCACCCAATATTTGATTGGAAGCCCAGTTCAATGTCCCCACAGGTTTTATGCATTTTCGTCTTTTCTTATGCATACATTTTTGCATGGCTTGTTTATTTTGATTGTCTTGGTACAGGATATTTACTATAAATCTTCATGGCAATGTTCTAAGATAGTGTAGTTAGTTATATTAGTTAGTGCTCATTTTCGCTTATAATGTGACTTGTCCTTTTGCACATTATTTTGTATGTTTGTAGCATTTTGAGTGTGCATATCAACGAGTAAAACAGATCACATTTGTTTTAAATACATGCTAACAAATTGGGTTTACATGTTTTAAGTATATCTAAGATTTACTATATCAGACCTTTTTTGTTGGATGAATATGGTTTTATTATCCAAGAAGCACAATTTGGCTACCAAAGAAAATATCAGACTTGTTATTGTCTGCAGAAAGCTCTCGTTTCTGACAGTGTTCATTTCTCGTCTCCATCCCACATAACGATGTTTGTATACCACATTTTTGTCCAGGATGACACGAGATCTTTTACATCATTAGGATCTCTGTCTTCAACATCATCCAAGAGTGAAGTGGCCTCCATCACTCCTCCAGAATCTTGGGGTGGTGAGAAGATATCTGATAAATTTTCTCACCTTCGCCGTCTGCCATCTCGATTTGGGATGGAGGCTTCTTGTGGTCTGACAACTAGCTCTTTTTATTCTGGACAATCTCAGTCTTCAATGCTCAGTCATATGAGTGTTAGTTCGCTAACAAATTCTGACATAAGCTACAAAAACTTGCACGCAAAAGATGTCTCTTCAAATCATGAAACTTCAGTGGGATTTCCAGACCACTTCTCCAGCTCCATGTTTGCGTCTCTTAGTTCAAAAGGCATTACTGGAGCAGGCAGCCTTGACTCACCAAAACTATCATCTTTAGCACTGTCTCGAAGGTTTTCAACATATGCCGAAAGAATTAGCACTACATCTGCCTTCAGTGATGGAATGTCCCAGTTGATGGCTTCCCCCAAAACAAAGAAAACCGGAGATGAAACCAAAGAAGAGTTGTTGAATAGCATGTTATTGAAGTCCGATTCATTTGCTTCAGCAGAATCAGGGATTCTTCCAGTTATGAATGTATGGAACCTGGTTTGGTTAAATAAATGTTGGCTTCCACATTTAATTTCTTATATGTCGGTTTGCTTCTAAGAGTGGAAGTCTAGCTTGAGCAATCCTACTGCTTGGTCTGCTCACCCCGGATGGTTTCACCATTTTTGGTATTCTGCTATCATTCATCCATTTGAAATGGTGAAGTCAACCATGATGAATAAATTTTAGGAACTTTATGTTTTTCATAGTTTTCTTTGGTCACGATGGTTTGTTGATTCTGAGTAACAGGGAGGAACGGAACAACCCCACAAGGCTCTTCAACCTGATTCCCAGCAAGGAAGTAACTTTTCTCTTCAGCTATTTCAACGTACTCTTGAAGAAACCCTCGAATCATTTCAGAAATCCATTCATGGAGATATGAGGAACCTTCATATTGAAATCTTAAGACAATTCCACATACAGGAGGTATCTCCTATCATCTCTTGTTTTTCTCATTGATTTGACGTTTGGGAAAAATATTCACAGCTCTATCTGTGGGGTCGTTGGACAGATGGAGATGTCTCGCGTGATGAGCTCCATTCTACAGAACCAAGCTGAACTGATGGAAGAGATTAAGTCTCTTCGGAAAGAAAACCAGCAGATTCGACAGTTGCTTTGACTGCTGCTGATTGAACTGCATTACTGCATCCGGTTGGTGAATGCGTTTTCTGATCACATTGCTGTTTCATCAGTATAGGTCATTGTATTTTAGAGTAAAAATTGATTATTGGATATCATTTGTGTAAAAATGGGTAAAAAGATGAAAGAATCATGCGTACTAAATGAAGAGTACAAATGTGGGGTTTAAGAGATTTTAAGATTCTCTGTGAAACATGTATAGAAATGATTCTCAATTGATTGAAAAATGAAGCTTTTAGAGGGTTATACTTTTGTAGATGAGTTCCCTGCAATAATTACTTCATATGTTTAGGCTTATAAAATCCTCATCTTGCAAGAGTAAAAATATAAATATATTATGCACAAAATTGTTGAACTTTTACAATATGGACATTAGTATTTTATATTTCAGTAATTGTTGAACATTTTTAATTTTTGTTATGTTTTATAATGTTACAGTATTTCGGTTATGATTTTGGAGTTTTGAATGATTATCAATTCGGCTGTTTGAATCAAACTATGTAGTTTTGAACTTAACTTTGCTTTATGATTTTCCATTTCCTTATTTTTCATTTCGCTTGAAATTTGGGATGTTTCCAATGGCGCAATGAACCGTTTTATTGTATTGAAGGTTTAACCATTGCAAGTGCTATGATTAACCAATAATTCATACAGATTGTCGAGACCAAGGATGGAATTTACTTTGTTTATGGGATCTAAATACCTTATTGTAAAAGTGTTCCTACTTAATCCTATGGTTTAGACTTCTCTTTATTCGAATATATATATATAAACGGATTTTTAATTATACAATATAATTGTATTTTCCGTACATAAAATTTTAATTTAATATTTATACCATTAAAGTAAGCCCATTATTAGCCCAAATCATTTGAACCTTTCTGGAAAATCCAAAAAGGTAGTGACAAACTCAACGCTCCAAAAAGGCGCGTGCCTGGGGTTGGGGAGAGATCCAAGCTCCCCAGAAGAAGTTTTAAGTCGAGTATTATTTCTTAATCCTTCCATCCTCGTCCTCTCCATTGCTTCCAATAAACGCATCGTTTTTATCCTTTTAAGAAATCCACTAAAAGAAAACAATTCTTTCTAAAATAGATATTTTAAAAGGAATTCTGTCAATGGAGGAATCATCGTATTCAAATCTTAGTACCACTCATTTGCTCGGCTCAGTTCCCGTAAGCTTCTTACTTTACCTTTTTCATTTAATTTGCATGACCTTATTTCTTCTTTTTTAATCAAATTAAGTCTTCAAAGATTTAACTTGATTTCAATTTTCATTCGAATCTCAGGCTGTTGCCAATGAAGAAAAGAAGGCCTCGTATGAAGGTATTTTTCCCTCTCTTTTACTTCTAGTTTCTGGAAAAGTAATTTTACAGCATTTACTAACTTTTTTTTTTCCTTTTATTGAAATTGTACAGTTCCTGAAGCGAATATGCAAATTTTTCCTCCAAATAATGGAAGTGGAGGGGGTAGTGGTCGAGGTTATCAAACTCTTGAAGCTCCTATTGGTATATTTTTTTCTTTTAATTTATTCCCTTGCCATAAAAGGGAGTACTTAGTTAAACTCATCATTTTTTATTATATATTTGAAATCTGCTATACAATTGCAAATGTTTATTGTATTAAAAGAGTGCCTTTAGTGAGGAAAATTGTGTTCTTGATAATGAAACTGTAAGAGAAAAACTTCCAAAATCTTTGCACATAGAGTTGAGATAAGAAGTAGGGGTGAGTATTTGATTGAGTCGAGTAAAAAAGTTTTGAGTTAGTTGAGTTAACGATTCCTCTTTTATAACTCAATATTTATTTGAAATAATACTTATAATATTATGATACTAATTGATTCCAATTTAAACGGTTTTCTATAACCATATAAGATAAAAATATATATTTCTTCATGTATTTTCATATGCGATATACATATATCATGCGGAGTTGAGGGATTTCACTCTAACTTGAAAATCAATTTACTAATTACTAAAAATTTAGAGTTATTCAAGTTCTATTTTATAACTCGACCTGAATTTAAATTTTTTAACAGTTAAAATTCGTACTTTTTTTAGTCGAGTTCTGCTCACCCTTAATCAGAAGTTTGGTCATTGACTTGTGGTTCTTCTTTCTGGAAGTTTCATATTGTATAATAGGGGAAATTCAGCAAGGATGTTTGATATTTTCATTTCCCTTTAAGTTTGAATGGAAAGAGTAAACTGCAATGTACTGTTACGTTTTCTTTTATGCCTGGAAATAATTACCTGTTATTTTTATAGTCACAAATATCCTTTTATTGGAGGGAGCATTGTGAATATATTTAAAAATTATAATTCTATATCTTCATGTAATTGATGTAACCAATAGCAATGCCTCATCCGAAGTTAACCTTCCCCTGATACATATATGATCCTTATGATGGTTCGGTTTATGTGTTTGTGTGTCTGTATTTTTATATATTTACTTTGATGCGTGTGTATGTCTTCTAAGGAATATAGACATTGGGGATCTTGCATTCATGTTCTTAAACACCTTAGGATATTGTGGTTAAGTATTATTGTCATAGTGTTACTGAAGGAACTTTAATGTTTAATCATCCATTTGACTATTCTATGCAGAAGAATTTGAACAACAGCCAGCGAATAATTGGAAGGGAGTTTTTAGTATCTCATCATACACACAGTATTTTAATGTGGATACTGATATTGTCATATACAGATTGATATGTTCCTTTTATCCTTCCATTGGAGATTTTTTCAGCAAGATCGATGCTAACCCTGACCTGTGAGTATGCTAACCCCACTCCCACCCCCAAAAAAAATACAATTTTTTTCTTTCTGTTGCTCCCCATTGTATCATAAAATGCGACATTCTTCAATATGGGTGAAAAAACTTCTGTGTAAAAGCTTCGTCATTGTTTATTATTATTATTATTATTGGAAATTTATCGATTGGACGAGAAAAGTTTATGGGGGGTTTATTCCTTATAAAATCATATTATCTCTAGTCGATATAAATTGGGATGAAAAGTGGATTGCAAGCAATCGAAGCATCCATTGACTTGGCAATCTTTTGTTTGCAAGAAATAAGCTTTTTGGAAGTCAGGATGAGCCCACTGATCTTATTTGCGAACTTACCACGTTAGAAAGCTCAGTTATTTGGTTCTTTATTTTGACATGAATCATAACATGTAGGAAAGACAGAAAATTTAAAAGAAGCATGCTAAACATGATAAGTGCATGAGGTGTTATCTAAGGTGTGTAAATGCAAGCAGAAATATAAAAGATTTAAGCACACATTGGTTGCATAATTTGTTTCATCAATATCTATTATTCTGATCTTAGTTCTAGGCTTTGCATTTCTGGTTATCTTTGCAAGTTGGTTGAGAAAACGAAGCTATTCATTGAGAAAGGAAATAGGAATACAGATAGTAAAGAGAGATTGAATCATTCAATTATGGAAGTCGGAATACATAGGATTTTGTAGCTTTTGTTTGTCTCGTAGAAGAGGATTCTTCATTGAGTTGTTTGAAAGTGAGGTCATAGATGGTTTGCCTTCAATCAAAGGATCTTTCCTGGTATACCTAACCAGCATGTTGTTTAACGGATAGTGCTGGGGCAAAAGCTGTAAATTCTTTTTTTGATAGAAGTTGGAGGTCTCATTAAAAACTCCCTTCGTATTCGTTCACATACTAAAAGTATGTTAACGAACATTGAAAGGAAGAAAAGAGTACCTCAGATTTTATTAATATAATACCCGATACAAAAGACACCACGGAATATCCTCTCATGGTGATGTACACCATTACAACAAAAACCTTAACCTAATAAAACCTCATCCAAAGCCACAGTCAAATCACCTTACTACTAATTACATCACCAACAGTAGTAATAAAAAAATGCGACAGAACATAATACAAAATGAAAGCAACACCTACAACCATATAGACTAAAATAAAACCACAAATGAAGAGACGAGATCTAATGAGACTTGTATTCTTCAGGAGCCCAAGAGTTTGGTTTGAATGAAGGTTCTATCTCATGCACCATGACCTTGAAGAAATTGTCACCAACCTTCAATTCAACCATCGAATCAATTCTCGCATCAGCCTTTGTTAGGACTTGAATTTTAGCCCGATCAAAGGATGATGGAGATTGACAACTTTCGTCGATAGCCAATAAAAGACCCCACTTATCACCAATGTTCTTGAAAGTATTCCAATTCCATGCGTGAAAAGGAACACCCTCGCAAACTAGCTATACTCGACGACACTCCATTACCAAACTCTCTGACCAAGCTTCGACTATGGAGAACCACTCTGCGAGAATCTTTGATTTGTCGTTCTTTACACTTCTCAATGAAGCATTGTCTTCGAAAATCATTAAAATCGCATTACCAGCAGCTCTCATTAATGTGAAGCCAGTGAGACCCTTCGATTGCATTTGCCTAGCGAGATGACCAATTTTAACAAAGTCCTTGCACCACCCCACTAGACAATTGCTCAACACCTGGAGTTTTTCTTCATCTATAACACCTTCAACTTTATAGTGATTCTTACTCGAAACATCTTCCATCCCAGACTTGCGAAGAATACTTGTCGATGACTTTCTCCAATATGAATGACGAGGTTTGAATTTAGCAAAAGAAACACCAATTTTGCTGCCGTCGATACGAGAGCCATTCATTATAGAGATCGTTCTCCTTGCTTTTTCGAATGATGCGAAGCGAATAAAACCAAAACGAACTCCTTTTGAATTCCTTTTATTTGGAATAAAAGCATCAAGTACCCGGCCATGAGAGCAAAATAACGATCCAAACCTCTTCCAATGGATCTTCTCTGGTAAATTATCAATAAATAATGTGAAGCATCCAGACTTGTCATTGATGCAATCCTTTGTGGTGGACTCCCTGGATCCATCTTGGACAGCAACTGCGGTAGACTTTTCAACATAACACCCAGATTTATCATGCACATGAATACTTGGAGACGCTCCAGGAGCTGGATTTGGCATAGGCAAAACCGGAGGAACAGGATGACAACTATAAATGTCCACTGCAACAGAATCAGTACCCATTCCTTTTTTAACAACCAGATTTTTCTTTGCCATCTCAATGTGCAAAAGAGACTTCAACTTGGCATCAAAAACCATCTCCTGAAGGGTATCTTTGGCAGCAACAGCAAATTTTGCAGTAGAGAATAGAGCGAAACCCTTGGGCTCTTTTCCCTTGAAGCTCACTTGCGAGGCTTCAAAACCTGGAAGCCATCTCAGCAAGTTTTGCAGCTCTCTCTCTTTGACATCTGTAGGCAGACCCGAAATGAAGATGGTACGAACCTTGTCATGATAAGAATGATGATTAGGCGAAGAAGGCGAGGCTGCAGAGGACGGAGGAGCTATGACCGGAGGTCTCTTCTGGTTACATGGGAGGATTCCTTCACCCGACATTAGAGGAAATCTCAGTGACTTAACGTAAAATCCCTGTTGCGCGCCCGGCGATGGAGAATGTTTGACTGGCCGGCGAAGAAGAGAAGGATGGTAGGGATAAAGAGAGTCGGACAGGAAGGTCCTGAGCCTTCGAAAAGGAGGAACAACGTAAACTTCCTTCTACCAAACCCTCAGACTTAAACGGGATCGTGAAAATCAGATATTGCCTTCAACAAAACTCTCAGACGTGGATTAGATCGGGGGAATCGCTTAGCAGAACCTTGGCTTGTTCTGATAAGTCGAACCGGTCAAAGGCAGACTCACGGGGAATGGCAGCAAGACTGAACGCCAGGACAGAAAAGGAAAAGATCGCAAGTGAAAGACGAGCCCGAAGGTCATACGATGAACTGACGACGGCCGACGGCAAAAACGGTAAATAACGGCGATCAGATCTGCGCCGAAAGAAAGACTTTCTCGAAAATCCAAACTCAAAAAAGAAAACAGAGTGAGGAGACGATCTTCCTGATGAAAAATGGCGGCGAACGGATGACGGAAAGTGGCGGCGGACGGCGGATGTCGGACGGCAGACGGCGGCCGGAGGACAATGATGAAAGACGTGGGCGAGCGGCGATGGAAAAAGATGAGATGAAATGATGGATGAAAAATAAAAGACGCCTTGAACCAAGAGAGAAGCGGGAGCTTCTCTCACTAGGTTTGAAATTCAAAGTCAGAATTTTTCCTGATTCGGGAAGAAAAGCTGTAAATTCTGATCTGATGGATTATTAAAGGTAACCATATACATGGTACCTTTTGTTGTTATCCGTGGGAAAGTTCAATTCCATGTTACTGTAATATGGTGATTGGTGAAATATAAATTTGATCATGTAGAAATCTTGACATTGTAACAGCCATAACTTGATAAAGGTGAAATAGTGTGCATTTGTGTCATGATCATCTGTTAAATTAGTTTGTTTGTCTTGATTTTTTTTCTGTATGTAGGTATGGGCTTATCTGGATCACAACAACCTTGATCTTTATGCTTGCTTCCTTTGGAAATTGTGCCACATACCTTATGCAAAAGCACAGTGATGGTACTTCTTCTTGGAGCTTTGATGTTGGCTATATAAATGCAGCGGCTTCTGGAATCTATGGTTATGCAGTTGTGGTTCCAGTGGCATTTTACTTCTTGCTTCAGTATCTGGGTTCAAATGCTAGCCTTGTACGATTTTGGTGCATGTGGGGTTATTCCCTCTCCGTTTTCATTCCAACTGCGGTAAGTTATAGCATACCCGTTGATACTTCTTGGGTCTTGTTAATTGGTGAGCATATGTAGACCGTTATTTGGAGTCCGGTATGCCAGCCCTTCTAAGTTGTTCCATGGAAATTTTTCAAAAGGTCATATACCTATACTCACGTCCGGATATGCACTGGATTCTTTGAGTCTATTTGCATCAGTATGAAAATCAAAGTTATTATATATTCATTTGTTCTTTTGCAATCATCTAAGCTGTAGTCTGTAACATATTTGCAGATTCTACTGCTTATTCCAGTTGAGATCCTTCGATGGATCATTATACTCATCGCCGGTACAGCCTCATCATGCTTTGTTGCCTTGAATATAAGAACTTACATCGAGGGGCCGAACGATCTCAAAATGATGGTGGTCGCATCATTCTTGTTGCAAATGGCCCTTGCAATCTTCATCAAGGTATGGTTCTTTGCATAAACCTCACATCCAAGCATCGAAATCCAAACTTTGTTTACGCTGTTTCTGGGAAATCCGTGAAAAGAAGGTCCAAGTTCGATCGAGCGAAATTCCTCATGAAGAGAAGCTTGTTTGTTTTTGTGGGATTCATTAGTTGTTGAGGTGTAGTTTTAGTGATAAATTTGAAGCATTTAACAGGGACAAATGATGGTTTTGGAGTGTGGCTGATGTAATCGATCAGGCGTTCTTGGCCTACAACTTTTAGGAGGCCAGCATAATCACAACAACTAGAGTAGATGTTAATGTAACGATTACGAATTCTAAAAACTCACTAAGATGTACACTTTCGTTGGTCGGTCCGGATCGCCACAACATGCCACGTGGTCTGCTTCACTCTAGCTAGACAATGGTTTTACATCTTGTACATTTTCATCTTTTCACTGTCATTTCGTAATCATTATATGACCAATATCATATTTTTAACCTTTAAATAACAAAGATTAACCATGCCAAATGATTTAATTTTATAAAATTATTTTGATATAATAACAACTTATTATGATTTTGTCAAGAATGTGTGATTAGTAGTATGATCTATGAGTTTATAGCTATAAAACTAATCAAGTTCAAGCCATTTCAGTTGCTTTTTTCTTTTTTTCTTTTTACCATTTTTAGTCTCATCTAAGGAACCATGACCCTTACTAGAAGAAAATGCCTCAGTTTGGTGAACAAAAAGCATTGACATTTTGGAAAAGATTACGAAATAGGATTCACAAAAGAAGATGCTTCTGAAATCAAGAAAATGAATTAACTGATAAATGAATATATATGTATAATAACTCAGAAACCGACTCAAATTAAGATTTTCCTAAAACAAATGAACAGTTCTGTGTGAGCAGAGAAAGGCAGCATTCACTCGGTTTGGAAACTCGGCAATAGGACTCGACCCAAATTCTAAGAAATCAGCACATCCATTACCTGGCTCACATTCGACTGCATTTATGTTCCATACGCGCTGATCATCTCTGCCTTCCACACGGGGTTCGGATACTGTGCCCCATACAATCACGCATCCTTGATGCTACTTCCTTGACGGAACTTTTATTTAGTCCACGTGTCTTATGCTTGGCTCTCCTGAGTGTTGTGGTCGGAAATCAGTTCAGATTCATGCTCCACCTGAATCGTTGAAAACACGTTTACCACAAATAAAATGTTATTTATTCTTCTTTTGGAAATTACGAAATTATTTATATATAAAAAAACCCTCATCCGTTCAACCTTTAAAAGGAAAATAGAATAAAATGACCCCAATTTATAGTTATATACTACATAAAACAATTATTTCCTTTTTTTCTATGATACTATTTCTTTTTATTTTTTTATTTGAAATAATTTACGTTTGTATTATACAGTGTATTAAGGGTGTCTTTAAAAAGTTCATAAAATATTTGAATTTGAGTATACTTGTTCGTAATTATATCTAGGGTAAATTGCATGATTGATCACTTTCATTTAAGTTTCGTACATTATTTTCTTATTGAATTTAAAAAAAACATACGATTTGATCACTTTTGTAATGTTTTATTAAGTTTTGGTCACTGAGACATTGAATGTCGTTAGTTTGATGACATATAACGTTAGTAAAATTGTTTAATTTTTATTTTAACACCTGAATTTAATTAAAATACTAATTATAGGATTTTTTAACTCATAGTAATTTAGGGATAAATTATCAGTTTACCCATATTTTAATATGTTCTATCTTCACTAAAAACATATAATTAGTATTTTATCTAAATTCAGGTGTTAAAATAAAAAATAAATCATTTTACTAATGTGTCACATTATCAAACTAAGAGCTTCCAATGTCTTAGTGACCATAACTTAATAAAATGATAATGAAAGTGACAAATTCTTTTGTATTTTTTTTATTCCAATGGAGAAAAGTGTATAGAATTTAAATGAAAACAATAATGTAGTTTACCTTATATGGGTCTTGGTTGGGTCTTGATCTATGGGTATTTGGGTGGTCGTTTGCCATCTAGGTTTTGACTGGTTGGCGGCGTTAAATGTAGCCGGCTTTGGTTGTGATCAAAGGCGGCTGGTTACGGGGGTTTGAACTTATAGATTTTATGGAGTATATTTGGAGTTTATTTTAAATATATATAAATATAATTTTTTATTTTTATAAAATGAAATGTTTTAAATTTTATAAAAGTGACAAGTATCATATAACAATTGAATTTAACGACTGTTACGGTGTAGACACCTATAATTATAACAGGGTAAACGTTAGTCACATATTTTTAATAAAAAATTATTTAGACACTTAAAGTTAATTTTAGGTATAATTTAAACACTTATTTTTATATTAATCCTTTTATTTAATGAAAACTGAACTCTTTGTTAAAAAATATACCCTTTAATTTTTAAGAAAAAGATAAAAATTGAAATAATTATAAAAATAATTAATTATAATATTCTTCCTTTTTTATTTATTTCTAATTGTTAAATCCTACTAGATTATACATGATTATAAAAATGTGAAAGAACTATAATTCTTTGTAACTATAAGGTGATATAATTACGGTCTAATAATTAAAAATTCCTAATTATTACAAGCTAAATCATTATTTTGATAAATCTAAGGTGACTATAAGATATTATATGTTCTAAAAATTTAATACCATTTAATAATGAAAGTTCAAACGCATTTACAGTCTCTGGTACTCGAACTTAAAACCTCTGCTAGAAATAGCAATCATCTCTTTAACCAAGATAATTTGATTCGTGTACAATCTAAAATATTAAAAATGCACAAACTACTAAAATGTATGTATCATCATCTATCATTTTATTTTGTTGTTGATAAAATCATCATCCATCATCTAAAGTGACACAACCACCACCATTAATGATAACTTTTAATTAAATTTTGAATTTAATTTACAAATAATCCAGTGATCAGAGATGCTGATTAAAAGTTACTAAATCAAGTTAATAAATACATTGATTCACGGGTTGGCATGAAATTTGTGTCGATCTTTCAGTCTTTTCATTCAGGGTTGGCCGGACTCATTATTACAAATATTTACAGAAAAAGTATGTTAATATTTATATCTTATAAATACGTTTAAACAAAAATCAATTATTAGATGTCTATTCAAACCGGATTCATTTAGTTAAATTTGCAATTTTTTTCATTAAAAAAACTTAGTTTACGTGAAGTAATATGGCTGACCAACAATAATAGGTTAAAGTAGTGCTTGCCCATTAGCACAACAACAAACGTGACATTAAATAAATTTTCTTTTTTCTGGTCCACTTTATGAGTTGGGTATTTGAATTTGTTTGGTAGTGAAAATAATAAAGTATAACTTCAAACTAAATCTTTTAGATAATTTATTTTTAAGGAAAAATTTGTTACATTAATAAATCATTTGTATCGTAAGGTTGATGATTTAAGATTTTGAGTATTCGTATTTAGATCTTCTCATTAGTAAAAATTATATAAATCAACAGTTTTATATTGATTGTGATTTAAGCTTATTATATATAATCATGAGTATAATTATCATGATTTAAATTTAATTATCAACTATTTTGTATTAACTTGAATCTAGATATATTTTAGTCATGAACTCATTAAATAATCCCAATGGTAAAAAAAGAGATGTAATCACCTCAAATTATTTAAAAAGATATATTTCATTTATAAATTTATTTATTTATGGATTATATTAATGAATTTTTATTTTAATCATATAAATATATTGAATACGATTATAACTATAACTTAAAAGAATCCAGGTAAAAGTGGTATGCTTTGTTAGGTCCTTCTCAAACAAGAACGTGGTGAAACATGGTTGTATTGTTGGGTATTAGTCGACTACTGAGAAAATGTAGTTATTTTAATTTAAAATGTGGTTTGCGTTTTTTTAAATGTATTGTTTCTTAAAATAATATTAAAAAAAATACGAATTTATAGGATAATGATCGCAATCTTTTATTCTAAAAAATGACTTGGAATCCATGTCAAATAGAAAAGGATAGTACGAATTATGAATATGAGAAAAGATTATAATACTTGAGAACTTTGATTTCCATTTGCCATTTGTGATTCAAAATTAATTTCAACTTACTAGTAAATAAAAATAAAGATATGGAATATTAAAATATTTAAATTTTGATAGCTTGATTTCAACTTAATAATACTAAGCAAAATTCGATTTTGTTTCTATGTGGAAGCTAAAGTGAAACAAGGACAGAATTTATTGACGCATTTTATTTTTGGTTTTAATGGATATGTATGTAGTCAAACTTTTATTTATATTATTTTATGTTTTATTTTATTACTTCTTTAAAATTGAATTGTCAAAGTTTATAAGAAAATTTATTATCTAACGATGATATATCATTTAATTTTCAAATTGTTTTTTAGAAAGGCTTAAAATCTGTAATATTCTAAAAAGATTCTAAATCATTGATACTTGAATCACATACACCATAATTAAACTCAATTACTATTATCATCATTTTTTAACCGTGCGGGCAAAAGATGATCAATGATGCAAAGGAAAAGAAAAAAGAGGAGTGCACTGAATTTTAACTTTAGTAAAGATTAAATAGTTAGTGCTGGGATGAAAGGATTATCATGGTTTAATGGAAGAAGACTGTATCGAAAATGAGATGTGTAGAAGAGAGCTCACAAATGATATCATTTTTGAATGAGTGAAAACAAACGATTGAAAGTGAGAATGATTATTTTAAAAAAAAATATGATTTTAGTTTTATGATAAATTTAGGGTTTTAGAAAAAGTTAAAATTTTTGCTTTTGATAAAAATAAAATAAATTAAAAGTTAGTTCACATTTAAATATGATTAGGTGATAACCAACGTTACTAATTTGATCTTAGACTAACGATGGAATAAAACATTGAGTATTAATAAAAAAAATAAAACATATTTACTCAAAACCATGAGACCAGACCACATAACTCTATCCTTACATATGGTTCGAACTGGTGGTTGTCTCAAATTTTGAGCGTCTTTTGAACCATAATTGTCTTTCAATCCTCTTCTGTAAAAATCCCACGTGAGACTAGAAATCACTCAGTTTTCTCTTTAAAATTCTCGCCATTTCTATATAAAAAATTCTCTCTTTTGTTCTTCTCTTTCAATCTTCTTCAACCAGAACAATAAAGAAATTCAGTTCCAAATCATTTCCCATGGCGAAGAAGCTTATATTTTTCTGGGTTTTCCTTGTTCTTGCATCAGACCAAGCTTTTTCACAACCAGATCAGTTCATCTTCTATGGATTCCATGGTTCAGGCAACAACAACATGGCCTTAACCGGAGTTGCGGACATTGCAAACAATGGGTTACTCTGTTTAACCAACACTTCGTCTCGTGTAAGTGGCCATGCTTT